GAAATGCCCTCCCTGCTACAAGACCTTCCTTCATTCCATTGAGACAGGTATAGGCAAGTTAAGGTACATTAAACTGTCCTGAACTTGAGGAAAAGTAACATACCTGCATCTCTTCAGGAAGTACAGATTTTACTGGCTTTCATATTATGGGCAGTCTAGGCTCAGTGATTGTCATATGGGAGCATCCCATGTGAACAGCAGGTCAACCAGTTGCAGCAAGCCTGTCATAGAGCCCTCTGCCTCCAAGCACCGGGAGACTCAAAGATTCAGCGCCATCCATTTAACCCCTGAAATTATTCCAGGAGCACAATGGAAGGCAGGTACAGAATGGCTGCCTACACATGTTCATAAAACCTTAATATATAAGTAGAACTACTTAATTGCCTTTAAGATTTGATCCAAAGTTCACTGAAATCTGTTGCAAGTTTTCTTCTGGTTTCACATGAGTGTTCTAGGACACCCATAGTACCCATGCATTTGATCTTCTCATACAAATTATGTGTGGCAGTCTGTACTGACATGATGAGTTTCCAGTTCTTTTCTGTATGCTTTTTAGGGAGAAAATAACTGCTGGAACTCTTGCTTCTAGAGTTTTTTAAGTCTCTGGCTGTACAGTACTTTTTTTTATCAGATAGATGGTGTTCAATGGAGGTGATGCTCCAGAGCTCTGATCCCTAACTCACTGAAAATCAAGGGAGTGGTTTTGTTGACTTACGTGGGTGTGAATGATTCCTGGTGCCTCTCTTAAGTCTGCGTAGAACTCAGAGATAACAGAGATCAGATGATCAAGGCCCCTTTGCAGAATATGTTAGAGGAATGAAAATAGCAGAAAAACAAAGATTACCATAAAACCCTACAGCTAAGGCATCACCAGACTTTTCCAGCAGTGCTGTGGTCTTGCACACTGGCAAAATACCATACTGTAAATACTGCATGGTGCAATGTACCTCAAATGTTTGGTTTGAATGGAGTAGTTGTTCCTAGGTATCGCAACCTTAGAGGTAATTACTTGTTCAGGTAATTGATATTTAATGACATATTAATGCAGACTAAATCTTTGTGTTCAGCTCCGGAACAGCTTACAAGGTAAGTGGGAGAAGATAGATGGTTCCCTGCTACTGGTTTGGGTTTTGATTTCAGTCTACACAAGGCTTCCAGTGACTTTGGCTAAATTATCTGATACTTTCTGGCTCCCAGCTTGAGGCTTTCAGTATTGCTGGGAAAGACATTAATAATGGTTTTCACAGGATGTCATCATTCTGCTTGAATATACATAGGTCTGAACTAATAGCATCAGTTTCCACATAAGCAGACTTGCTCTTGAGTTACAGTAACCAAAAGCAAATGACATCTTAGCCTTTAGTGTCTCCATGCTGCATTTTTAATGGAAAATATCATCTGTTTAAGTACAGACATAAACAACTTTTCTTAAGCCTGCCTGACATTTAATGTGTAACTCCGAAGGTTCCTCTGATCTAAAAAAGGCTGGCAGATGGAGAAACAGCAGGTGGAACCTCAGATGAGACAGCCAGGAGGTAACAAACAGGGTAGGAAACTAGGTCAGATGAGATTTCTCCCACGTTGGAAGAAATGCATTGAAAATGCTTCCTTGGTGGAGGCATAACAGTGGGGTTTCAGCAGTTTTCATTAATATTTGCGTCTCTGAATAGGTCGGAGTCTGTCAGCATCTGATACATATATAGGGCATATTTCTGTGGGAAAGGTGAACCTGAGATTTACAAGTGTGCTTCTTTCAGCTGCAGCATAGGAGATTTCTGTGTAAGAGGCCAGAGCACCCATGCATTTATGATGGTTAACTTAAGATACAACAAGGAGAATGTTGTTAGGAAAAGCAAACTGCTGGGATACCTCAACTTCTTTTCTTTTTGTCTCTACTCCCCACTCTCCCGTTTGTTTCTTTCTCTCCATAAATCAGCTAAATTTTCAGAGGGTTAGATCTTACCCTGTCCCCATTGCTGAGTGTCCATATTACTGCAAAATCTTACTCCAGCCATTGTGTCTAGTACATTGTGATGAGGCTGCAAGTGTACCTGGAGAGTTGGGACTTAGTCTTTGACCCTCCTTCTAAAAAGAGGAAGGACCACAGCTCTTCTCTTCCTCAGGATGCTTCCATCATTGCTGCATCCAAAGACATGGTAAGACAGAGGCACTGCTGAAAAGCACTGAAGTAGACGCGTGATGGATGTTTAAGGAAGGCAGAGGAGGAGGTTGGAGAAGCAAAACAGCCATGAGAGCCTTGCTGAGAATTGGCTGAAATTCATACTGCCTCCCTCCTCCAGGCAGTGCTTCAGGTGTCGGAGGCCAAAAATGGAAAATAGCCTGTGGTTTTAAATTGCTTCCAGGGACGAGCACCTTAAGGAGCCAAGTAGATTCAGAACAGGGCTGCTTTGCTCTCCATGAGGCAGAATTCCCCTGCTGTTTGAGTACACCTGGCTTTTTATGTTGAATTCCCTTTGCTGTTTTTCTGCCACTTGAAGTCCTCTGTACCAAGAAAATAAAAGCAATTGACTGAGGGGTGTTCTAAATCAATAAATATAAAACAAAGTATAAAAACTGTTTTCATCAGTCTCCTGTATAGGAAAGGAAATTGTGCAATGCCCATGGGACTGTTATCCTCCGTTGTCTGACTGGGAATTTTATTCATGTGAATTTCAGTTGTAAAATTCTGTGAAGCCTTGCAAAAATAATGAAGATGGTCATCTAATGTTAGCATTTGTAAGATAGAATCCTGCTGAATTGGTTACATTACCCAATTCCCAAAACCAGAAAAATCATACAAGGAACAGCCTTGTAAGAAGCAAGAAGACAAGACAGTGCTGTTGATTCAAAGTGGACAAACATGTTAATAGCGAAAATGTAAAGGACAGTCATTTCCAAATGCTACATAATAAGGCCAGGAAGAAATGAAATCTGTTCTGTCAGTCCACTAAGTAAGTGGCAACTTTCACTGGCAAAGAAAGGTGATGACAGCTCCCACGAAACACTTGAAACAAAACTCCTCCTATTTATTCAGCCCCCTCGCACCAAAATAGAGTTCCCTCCTGGCCCAGATTTGCAGCATGAGTGATTTACTTCATTTGAATAATTAGATGTTCTTAGGTGTGAAATAAATGAAAGTGAATTCAAAGCCTTCAATTTTCTTTTCCATTCGCAGTTTTATGAAAACTAAACAAATTCAAATATGATAATTCCAGTCTGTTACAGTCTGTGCAAAAGGCAGTTGCTGTTCACTGAAGGAACACATCTCCTGTATTAATGCATTTCACGGACAGATGAGTTTTTCCTGCCACTAGGAGTTGTTCAATACCTGCATGTTTATAATATAGGTTTACTGTTGACTGCACCTGATAATAGACCTGCTATTTGGAAAATTCTTGAAGAAAAGAAGGAAATTGTCCTTTCTTTTTTTCTCTAAATGTCATGCACTTTATAGTATGTCTGAAACATGATTTTACACATCCTTATGAGGATGTCATCCTGCATCATGTTGTGTACCTAGGGGTATACATGCATATTTCTTTTTTTAATGGATACTCTGTGTGTTTATGTGTGCATGCATATGGGTAAGTATGTACAGACATTGCCATTAGGTACTACAAAGTGCTACTATTGTAATAATGGTCTTCGTTGGGAGGGAATTATCCCAAATTCAAGGAATGCATTTTAAAGGCATTTAATATAAATACTAGGTAACATTTGAAAGCTTCCAAGTTCTAGCCTCACAACTAACAAGTCAAATCTGAATTAGCAGAGTTTTGTAGGTGTAACCATGTAGCTCTACAAATCCAGATGTGGCTTATTTTAGGTACAGAGCTGGGTTACCAACATCATTTGGTTCCTTATAGTGAAATATGCTCTATTAATAAATATGTACTGTTGCTACTACACTTCCAAACTAGGTGTTCTTGGTGATACAGCTACATCAGTTGAGAATCGCATTTATTCTCACCTGGGTAGCGTTTAGTGCTCTTTCAGAAGCACCTGTCATAGTGCCAGTTCTACTTGACTGAGTGTGATAATAAAAGGACCCTACCCAGAAACTCTGGCATTGCCTAGTTGCACAATGGGCTTCTTGCAAACCTTTATTATGTGTGGTTGGCCTTCTACTCCTAGGAACAGTGTGTTTTTTCTGAGCCCTTGTCAGTGGGACTTTAGCTCCTATGTAACTGTGAGCAAGCTCCTTGTGTCAGCTGCTCTACAGTGAACTGCAGAGCATCATGTAAACAATCATGTTAACTCAGGGCAGTCTGTCTCTCACAAAGAGATAAGCTATGCTGCTTAAATCGAGGGAATTACCCTGAGCTTGAATATCCACCTGTATAGATGAGTGTTTGCAGAGCAGCTCTCACTCAAGCAGCTTGACAGCAAGTCAGCTCCAGGAGGATGTTAGCTGGTTAAGTCAGTCTAGAGGAAATGGAAGCAAAAACATGCTCCCTCAGGAGGGTGGGTAGACCTGAAAGAAGAGAATTGGCAATGAGAGGAGTGCACTTTGGGGAGAAAGAGCATTTAACATGTTGGCAAATCGCCCATCTGTTTTCTCTCTTTAATAACTTTATCCTGTCTTATATATTACAAGGTTGCTGGAGAAAAGATCATTGGCTATTCCATGACTCTTCACTCCCTAGTACAACAGGACCCTAGAAATTACTGAAACGGGAGTGTGAGGATAATACAGGAGGTTCATGAGTCAAGTGTGTTGCCTCTGGAGACCCTTTTGAAATCTGAACAAGTATGGGTGGCGTTGCAGCAGAGTTCAGCTCTCAGCCCCTGCAGGCTACTTCACCTCTTCGTAAATTGTTGTTTGAGTTCCTGACAGCCTTCTCATTACACGGAACACAAGTGCATCCATGGAAAATAAAGTCTGAATTTACTCAACAGCAAAGAATTTTTGCATTGCTTAAAATGATGTGTCTGTGTCTGCACAGCTCCCACCACTGTCTGAACCAGCTCTACCTACACCTGGCTGACAGGGGTGTACTTTTCAGAGAAGGTGCTGAATTCAGAGTGAGATTGACTTTTATCTCATTGTGGAAACTGGGAAGGAAAGGAATAATGTGTGGCTGTACGTTTGCAAAAACCAGATGCTTCTTAGAGGTGAGAAGTATGCCTTTGCTGTTTCTTCAGTACCTGCAGAAGCAGTGTGCCCAATGTAGGGCTGTGCCTTCTGGTCTTGTGTTTGTGGCGGGCATGCAGGCTTGCCATTAGGAAATGAAATCAGTGGACAAGTACAGATCCTACAACATTGAAGCACATCAAGGAAATCCTTTGGTAGTGTAAAATACAGAGGCAGACTTTAATTCAAATTCTGTTAATTGTTTATGTTGGTGTGGTTCCTGCCCCAGCTGAATTTATGACCCCAATTGTAAAACAGAACTGTACTGTACTTGTAGATAGCCCACAGATCTGAGAAATGTTATTACTGCTAATTCTGAAGCTAATCTGATGCCCCTGACTAATACGGACATAATATGGCAGAAGAAGATAAAGAACTAGAAATGAATTTGTAGTTCGACATTTCTTTCCCTCTGTCTTCTCCTGTCACATGTTTTTGTCTTTTTACCAGGGCTGAATGGCTATCTTAACTTTAGGAAACACAGCACAAGATCAAGACAACCGAGCTGGAAACTGTAAAAGAACAAGATTGCAGGCTCTTCTGTGTCATGCAGGTATTACTGCTAAAGTGACTAAGCCATACTATTTATAGAAGTATGACTTTTAAAGAAAGGAAACACTACTACAGTTGCAGGTTTTTTTTTTTAATATCCCACTTAAAGTTCTACTGGTGAAAAAAAGGCAACAGCAGTTTTTTTCTTCCAACTTCATAATTAAACTGAAAGCAAAAGAATGGGGTCAGTTAGATGTAAAATCCCCCCTCCCCCCCAAGCTTTCTCATTGTATAAAAAATATGAATGTTTGAGTGGATATCACTGATTTACAGATGAGTTTGCAGCTGAGGTACCTGAAGATTAATGTGTGCCCATCTTCCCCGGCCTCGTGCCATGCCAAAGCCACATGCTGACCTCAAGACCCAGATCCCTACTGAAATGACGCTCGGGCTAGAGGAGAGCTGTAACTTATTCTGATCAGCTCTGTGTTTATTGATTGGGGCAGCAACACCCTAGCTTGAGCTCTGGCAGTGTTGTACCCAAGTGTTAGGAATTGGAGAGCATCCTTCTTAGCCATTTTTATTCCAAGATCTGTAGAGAATTTCACTCACAAACAAGAATGGTTCTGACTCTGTTCCCAAAACACTCTCGCTGAAGAATAGCCTGTTTTCTCTTTTTAACTTTTGTTCTTGTCTTTCTGCTGATCTTACAGTGTTCAGTTACAAAGCCAAAGATGTGTTGACTATCAGGTCATAACCTTGCGCATCCCTAATTCCCAGTGGAATCTCTTTAGAGACATGACGTACAGAAAGTGCAGGGTCAAAACAATTGGAGATGCACTGACATTGGAGGGGGGGGGAAAAGCCATCTCTGCTTTTTTTTATTCTCTTCCATTTATGTTATTTCCAAACTAAATGGTTATGAACATGTTCATTTTTGTGGGTACATTACTAGATAACAAGTGGATAGCTTGGCCATCTGAAAAGAAATAGCGCAACAGAACTAGAAAATGGAAACCAGGCTTGTGGTAGCTTCTCTGTAATTATCCTTCTTCAACAGTGATTCTAGTTACATGTAACAGTGTAGTGAGTTTGGGTTTGCAAAGCTGAGAGGGAACCTTGGAATAAGTGATCCAGGAACAGGAACCAGGGAAGCAAAATCCATTTTTAACTATAGGGACAATTAAAAGGCAGAGCTCAGAGTTCCAGATTTAATTAATCTGCTCATAGCAACCCAAATAGTTTATTTTCATGCTTGTCAATCTGATTTCCTCTCCAGAGAGGAGACTGTGGTCACCTTGCTGTTGCTTTTGAATCCCACTTTGCACATTACTTTGCTATTCACAAATCCTAATAGAAGCCATTCCTTCCTCCTGTCATTGAGAACATCCAGGATTCAGATTTCTTCCTCTCTCTTTGCTGATGCATATCAGATTTACCATCTCCAAAAGTAACTTGCTACGATTTTTGTGGGTGTGCAAGGCTTTTCTTGATCGCTTGAGAAAAGCTTGCTGAAGCACAGAGGGACCTATCACTTTCCTATTGGCATTCACCCAGGTTCACACAGTGGTGTACTTCCAGGGCTATTTTTAATAGTATTGTTTGTAGGAAAATCAGTATTTGTGACTGTCATGTATCATTTATCAGCCAGCTCGCTGGTGTCATTTCTGTGTTTTCTGATGAGACTGTAAATTCTCTGGACAGGTCTGCAGCCTGTTTCAGATCTCACTTTCACAGTAGTTATATATCCCTGAAATCCCAGGTGCTTCAGTTATTATTATTTATTGTCTGTGCTAGGAAAGCATCCTCAGGCCCATGACATGATTGAGCCAGGAGCTTTAAAATACCAGGCTGAAGAAACAAACCTGACAAGGAGTGTAAATGGATTAGCTGCTATTTACAAAGCTGAAGGGAGATGAGGTTTTGGTGACTTTTTAGAACATCTGGCATATCCCTAGTGCCATGCAAATAAACAAACAACATTGCAGGGAAAGGCTCTGAAATGCTTTCATTTTAAATGCCATCAGTCCCTCATTTGCCACAAATTGCATATGCTTGAGGGTGAGGGAGATTGGTTTTCAGAATCAATTTGAAAAAATATAGCTTGTAGACTGACCTGCTCGGGATTGAGTACTGACCCTCTGATGCAATGTTCCTGTGTTTTCTGACGAAAGAGCGGGTAAACGGTAGAGTACTGTTGGCAACTGAGCATCAAGTAGCAAGATAAGCCAGCACTCGGTGTGCTCCTCGCTTTGTTAGAATGTCACTGCAAGGTCAGGGCCAAGCGTTTCCCCTCCAAAGTGGTACAGTCATGCCTTGCCTCTTGAACAGATGAATAAGAGCACTCTGGCAGGTATTTGCTTCTCTGCTGATGTGGTACTGATGAAAAACGTAGTCTCATACCAGCGCTGGAGACACCAAGCAGAGATGCAAGGCAGAGGGCTGCCGGTGGCACAGGTGCTTTGTGTGAGGACCAATAATCTCATTCTCTGTTAGCCCAAGCCTTTCTGCACCCAGGGCATAAGGCATTATATAAATGCACAATTATGAACTAAGTAGACAGTCAGACTGTCTTTAAAGTCTTGTCTATTGCTTTTGGCTGTTAATTAGAAGTTTGTCTCTATAGTGGCATGAGAATAGGGCAGAAAAGTCACAAATGATGCCAGACTATCACTGTTAGTTCTCTGTTGGCAAAGTACTGAAAATTAGTGTGGCTCTACTGGCCCTGCAGGTCAATCCTTTAAAATAAAAGAGCTGGGGCAATACTGCCTTTTACAGTACAGTTTAAGTTTATAAAGCTGGAAGGTTTCAAAACAGAAACAAAATCCACACTTGTATTTCCAAAATGACTTTACAACTTCCTTTTTTTTAATCTGCTAAATGAGATTTTGGCAATATTAATTCTATCCTGTGGGGGATTTAAATATGGATGGAAATTTGTTAGATTTTTCATGTTATTTCTAGCACTACATAGTCTACTAATATCTTTCCAGTATTTCTACCTCAGAATAAGAAACTGTCTTAAAAGTGTCTGCATTACTATCTGGATGGAAATACCCTAGGCCTATCCTCTTACCCCAACAAATTCTGGTCTGTAGATTTATCATTGCTATTACTTTGGATGAATGACCCCTCCCATCTTCTGAGACTAGCCTTCTTGTGGGGTATCTTGAAAACCAGCATCATCTTTCAGGGCCAGGGTTGAACATACTTTAAAAACCCTACCAAGAATATTATTCATATGTCATCATTTATTTGCTGGTTTTGAATAGGTTCTTCTTAATAAAGACTTAAAACTCTCATCTCATTTGTAGCACCAACATGTCTGTTTTTTCTTAAACACTATTTACCATTCAGGCCATCAGACAAGGAGCTGAGGAGCGGACAATCGGTTTCAATGTGAGATTTTTTGAACAAACAATTCACCAAATGATAGCGCATTGTTGGTGTTTCAGTTATCTAATGAAAAAATGGTATAAATACCAGCCTCTATGCAGGCAAAGCAGTGCAACTGAACTGCAGTGCTTGCTCATTCCTGCCTGACTGCTGCTTCGCCTGCTCCCCATTTACTCGTTCTTTGCCACATGTGCAGCCTGAAGTGTCTGGTACAGCCAGAGAGCTTGATGAAACCTGGGAGTTTCCAGGTCAAGGCTTCAGGTCATTTACTGGCGGACACAGAAATACAAGTCTCAGGGTGACAGACAGGTACAACCTTGTGTCCGAGTATGTTTCCAGGAAGCCAGGGTTACTGTGCTGCCACCTAAAACAATACAGCTTTGTATCTAAATTTTGTGGATACTTTTAGAAATCTGAGGTCATACATTTTTAGCTGTAGAGATGCCAAGACACAAGCCAGTGTGATGGAGATGACTAGTAGGATTTATCTTGGTTTGCCCTTTTATTTGTGAGGTGGTTCTTGTTTTTGCAGCTTGCCCAGTACTTACAGACAGTCACACCACAGAGACTGCTCTTGATTTTTAAATTGCTATTGATTAGAAGTCATGATCCTTTTGTCAGTTGCTGTTTCCCATCTGAATTACAGGCACATCCGCTAGAATGGAAGAAAACAAGTGTGTTCTGTTTAAGCAGCTTTAAAAACGGTCATTAATTCTGTACCCAATATATCTTATTTCATGTTAGTGAATCTGTATTTCTTCCATCAGGTCTTGACTTTCAGTGAGCATCTTCCACATCACACTTGCACTGGACTACCTCAACAGTCAGTTTAAAGAAGACACAGGGGTTTGAGGCAGGAGCTGATTTGGGGTTTGAATATGAGTTTTAAATTTCTTTTTTTTTCAGCAAGGAATACACCCAGTAGCAAGTCCCCAAGGAAAATGGGTGTGGGGAAATGCCAGTTCTTCCTCCTCCAATCTCAGGGAAAACTCCTGCAGAAAAGCACAGTGAGGCAAGTCTTCTGCTGAGTCCTTTTCACACCAGAAGCCTCTTTTCTTTTTCCATCCCTATTAATGCACTCCTGGATTCATTTCTTACCCACCTTGAAGCTCAAGGTGATCTCAGGTGTTTGGGGGAGCTCTATCATTCAGAATCTTCACAGCATCAAGCTTTGTCTTCTAGGAAATCACTTTTAGATTTTGCACCTAAAGGCTGGGAGAAAGGAGAGGATGCAGAGAGGATGGTAGTGAAGCTGAGCAAAGAAAACAGAAATGTGAAAGAGAAAGGCCTGCTTTGAAGAAGTGAACAGAGACAGAGAGATACTCCACTTATTTTCCTGCCCTTACTTGCTGGTAGGCAGGCTCCCTGTGCTTGAAAATCTGGATCTTCCATCTCAAAGACCATGTTTAGACAGAGGAAAATGAGTGGCTGCTTAATGACAATAACATTAAAAAAACCAGGCTGGACTCAAGCTGATGACTCAGTGTAAAATAGTGTACTGCAATTATGCCATGCCATTTGTTTCTGATTCACCTGCTGCTGCTTGTTTATTTGCCTTATATTTCTTTATTCGTACTTTGCACCACTATTCTCCATCCTTTGCCAAAATCATATTGCTAATAATTAACTGCATGTGGCACTCCTGTGGTTCTGTGCTCATTGCTG